TTCATATTTTAATTTATTATCAAATATGGAAAAAATTATAATATAGTAAACTAGTCCCCTAATTAAGCTTATGAAATCTGTTAAAAAACAAAGGATAATTTAATGCTCAATTCAGCAGCTTGCCACCTCATGTTCAAATAGTTCTCCCCGAACTAATCAGTGGTTTAGCTACCCAGTGACAAATGACTAATATATTCATTGGACGGCTGGTTTTGAGAATTTAATTGAACCAGCTGATTCAACCGATTTGATTGTAAACATGCAGCTTAATTTTTTTGATTTTCATAAAAATATTGACGTGAGAAAAAAAGATGATGAAATATTAGCTTGTAGTTGAATATGATAGATATTGAATTATTTTTCTATTTTTAATAAGATGATGGATGCATGGCCCGAAGATAAATAAAAATATTAATAAAAAAAAAATATTTTAATTGTCAAATGTTTACATATTTGGTTTTTGAGCCAAAGAAAATAGAATTATAGTTCGATTATTGAAGGACTTCTTTATTTTTTAGAGGGGATAATTAGGTTAAGCTTTAGTTATTATATTGGGCTTCAAATTTGGCTCTCCTAGCTAGAGAGAAGGCTCTCTTCCAACTCCTTAGCAGGACTAGCACTATATGAAAATTTTAGAGGCCTAATTAGTCGATTCATTTTCTATATATTTTGAGAACACCCAAAAATTTAAGTTCTTATTTTAGGGGGTAAAATGTGGAAAATTTAGCAATTTTGGGTCTAGAGTCGTGTCGCCGAGTCTTGGGGTCGCGGCGCTCAAGCCATCCCACCATGCCTATTATGCGAACGAGAGTGTACTTAGGTATGTTTTTTAAACAAACCAACATTGCACTGGAATGTCGTAGTTTAGTGTTGTAGTGCCAAGCCTTTTAAATGTACGGTGGGGCCCACTGTGGGAAGTGGTTGCATGGATTTGTAGAGTTGTTGACCGAATCTTGACCAGGAGCTACAGTGCCGATTTCTGGTCCATTGATGGTGCCCACCCATAATCAAAGTGAAAAATATAAGATTTTATAGAGACGGGCTCTAAAAGCCTAGCACGTGTTGTGTCCTTGGTGTTGTAGTGCCAAATTCCTTATAAAAAGTGGGGTGTTCGAACGTTCACCACCATTATTTCAAAATCCTCTTTCTTTCTTCTTCCAACTCTTCCAACCTCTAGCTTTCTGGCGAAGGAAATGTTATCCCGTCAACATGCAAGGAGGATAAAATTGCCTAGCAATGGCTTGGATGGCTATCGTTTTCTGAATGTCGGGACTCAAAGTACGGGGAGGAAACAATTTGCCTTAAGGAAACTACTAAGTGGAATGGTACCCAACATCATATTAGCTCAGAAAAAGTCACCAACTTCGCTCTTCCTATGGCTTCTACCCATCCTCATTCCATCTTTGAGTAGATCTGGAAGTTGCAAGATGATATCACTGTGGTCAATCAAAAAGTGAACTCCCTCTGAGATTGACAGAGCAACATCAAGCAGTAGTAGAGCCATCATATTACGTGACACACTTAAACCCTTGAATGTTGGCAAGGACAAGTTAGGCCTCCTCTCTACCGATCCATTTGGATTTGGGATCAAATAGGATGGTGAATGATAGTGCAGATGATGAAGACTATGACACGGGAGGAGAGTAATCACCTTTATTTTCATTGTTACGTTATGCCCATATTTGTTTTTCATATTTAGGGAAGATGTTTTGCTATTTCAACATTTTATATATGTACTTAGTTTAGATTTAATGATGGTTGATCTTTTCAAGTTCATTTTTTATGTCTCTACATATGTGCAAAAAGATCTCTAATTAATATTGAATGTTTTTGAACATTTAAAATTCATCCACTTTTGATCTGGCACCACAGCTTCAATACTTTGTGCTAAGGTGCTGGTGTTGTAGTGTTGGTGTTGTAGCATGAGGCAATTTGAGAGTTTGAGACTTTAAATTTAATTTTGTGATGAAATACTACCATGTAGAGCCACAAAGCTCAGCCCCAAAACCTAAGTCTGACACCAATGTGCTATCATTTGATGATTATTAGTTGATGTGACATCTTACAAATCATCAAAGCCACAACACCAGTGTGTAGTGCCGCATCATCATGCATCACCTAAAAATCAACCTTTGAGGTCCCGTGTGGCAGCTGATTAGATAAGTATCATAGCCACTCCCTTATCTTTGTGATGCCACTAGCCAGAGCTACAACACCACACTGAAATATGTCAGATCCTCAAGGTACACAATTTATCCTATTAGGAGATGCGACACCTTCCATGTTAGCCACGCCATGGTTCCCCATCTAGTTTCTTGGCATTGTTCGATCCCCTCTAATAGACATCAAAAAATAATGGTATGCATGATGTCTTATGAATTGATGTGGCACTTACCTAGGCAAAAAGACAAATCTATACCTTACACATCTTAAAGGGAACATTCTGTGGCCAGACTAACATGACACTTTTTGCACCAGTGGTGCCACAACATCGTGATCTCATGTCGCAGCTCTAAAATCTAAGTTTGCTTTTTAAAAGGGGTTGCCCAAGGCTGCATAAAGGGTTAAGATTTTCAAATATTCTTCTCTTTCAACTCCTTTAGAGTGAACCAAGAGTGCTTGGTGTGTGCGAGCTTATCTTCACAT